TTGAAACGATTTTAAACGTGGGGGGGGGGGGGGGGAGGAGGGGGGGGGGGGGGTTATGGTCCTTAACGAGCTACTTATAGTGTTTTAAAGAAATATTTTCAGTGTCAGCGTTGGTACTGTCGAATTCACAAATTATGAATTACTGAAAAGTAGAAAAAACAACAATTAAATAGCGGCGTATGTTATGCCGCGGGCCGGCTCGTTTTCAATAATTCATAATTTGTGAATTCGACAGTACCAACGCTGACACTGAAAATATTTCTTTAAAACACTATAAGTAGCTCGTTAAGGACCATAACCCCCCCCCCCCTCCTTCCCTCCCCCCCCCCCCCTCCCCTACGTTTAAAATCGTTGGCTCTGCTTGTAAACATTTAGAGTGAACACAGCTCACTAAAACCATGTAGGGGTGGGGAGGTAGGGAGAGCGTTTGCAGCTTGTTTTCTAACGGCTCGAAGAAGAGAATTATATATATAGATTTGCTTGTATTTTAATCAATTCCTATTACAATTTATTAAAACCGTTTTCTAAAACGCGAAATAATGGCTAAAGTTCGTTTTCTAACATTGCTTTTTCATAATGCAATAGTGTGACGTCGCACCACCTAATCCAGCCCCTCCCCCTCATAACTCACACCGTCACAAAATAACGAATCCCCCCTCCCCCTACGAGTATGACGTCATTGATAGTCGACACCTCTGTGTCTACGTATGATTTGTTTTAAAAAGGGCATTTACTATTTACATGTCAGCCTGATTTTCAGGCGGCTCAAATAATATTCTAGATCTATAGTACACTACATAGCTACGTAATTAACATGTGTGATTTCTCATTCTTTAATATATTTTTCAAACACTAACTTACTGCGTCGTATATTGTTACGAACCTTAATACTAAATAAGCCAATCATAAACTAGTAATAATATTTCTAGTTTTAAAAGAGGCTTTACTTTTAAAAGTCAAATTACTGATTATATACACATTTTAAGAAGATAAATTTTCTAAATTCCAAGGTTTTACTTTTCTGGATCAAACCGGCTTAGAAGTAGTAGTTGTTTCTCTTGCAATGATTTTCAAATAGAATTACTTCCCTTTAAAGAAAAAAAGAGAATAGCCGTATTAGGGCTATTCACAGTCGAAACCGTTTTTGCTAGATTTAATGTAAAAATACCCTACATGGCAAGAAGGTGTGAGGTCGAGCGGACATGAGGACAGAGTTTCTTCCAGGCATCTCTTGGGGGGGGGGGGGGGGGGCGGCTGCAACTGCAAAATCTACTGAGGAAAACATGTTATGTTCAATATGCTATTTAACACACACACGCATATATATATATATATATATATATATATATATATATATATATATATATATATATATATATATATATATATATATATATATATATATATATATATATATATATATATATATATATATATATATATATATATATATAAAGTCTACCGCCCCCCCCCCCCGAACGAGATGGAATTTATATAGTAAACATACACTTTTACTAGTGTCCGCACCCCCCCCCCGATAAATGTCAACCACCCCACCCCCTACCCCGAAAATATCAAGTTCCCCCCCCCCCCCCGGAGAACAAAGTCTGAAAGAAACACTGCATGAGGAATGGCTGTCGTGCCGGAAGGTGCGTGTTCTATCCCATCCAATACACCATATTATGTGCTATGATACTAAGTGAATTTTTCTTTTATCAAAATATTTTTCCTAGTTACTCATGGAAGGTTTACTTTTGTTAATTTTTTTTTTCGTTTGTGACGTAATTGTTGGCATATCAGCAACCCCCCCCCCCCCCACAAAAGTGTGATGGAAACTGTGAATTATAGCAAGTCCCCCCCCCCCTAAAATGACATCACACTTCAGCGTAGAACTCCCTCCCCCCCCCCCCCTCTGGATTTCAGTTAAATTTTTCTTAATACGATATTTTTCCAAAACCTTATCTGGACTTTGTCAACATATAGTATCTTAATCAATTTCTACTACAGTTTATTAAAACAGTTTTCTAAAACGTGAAATAACGACTAAAATTCGTTTTCTAACATTGCTTTATTTATAATGCACAATTGTGACGTCACGCCGTCTGAACACCCCCTCCCCCACTCCCTCCCACTCATTACACACCATCAAAAAAAAAATTTCGCGTGTAAAAACATTTATGCTGGACCGATGTATGAAAATATGAATATTTGTTTTGAAAAATACTTGTACGAGAACAAGATTCTAGTGGCCCAATTAGAAACCCTATGACTGCAGTGTACGTTTTGACGCTTGGTTTTTTTTTCGATTGTAGCGTAGTGGTGATTGTTGGTGCAGTGTCTTGCATTAGTGTATTGGTGTTTGGTGTCAGCGACGGTGACCGTTTTGTTGTTGGTGTTTGCTTGTGGTGGTATGTGGACGCTGTGTCCAGTTACCGGAGTTGCCGTATATTCTCAGTTGATGGTGCCGTCTGAGTTTACTGTTGTGATGTGTTTGAGTGTGCAAGATGGCAGTAGTTCGTCCAGAGCTGATATGCCATGCCTGTCTGACACGCTTGTCTCCGTACTAGAAAGACAGAATCAACGATACCCTTAGATGCCCCCCCCCTCCCTCCCTCCCTCAACAATGACACCCTATTAAAGACACGCGGAACGGTCAGTAGAAAGGTACCAACAGATAACGTAAGCCCACACACAAATAATCACAGTATAACCATTGTAACAACACGTATTCAGAGTTTCTTCCAGGCATCTCTTCGGGGGAAGAAAGTCTTCCGCCCCCCCCCACCCCGAACGAGATGGATTTTATATAGTAAACATACACTTTTACTAGTGTCCGCCCCCCCCCCGAAAATTTCAAGGCCCCCCCCCCCCCCGAAAATTTCAAGGCCCCCCCCCCCCACCCCCCGGAGAAAAAAGTCTGGAAGAAACACTGCACGTATTTTGTATGTATGACAATACGGTGGTTATTGTGGGTTCTTTCTTTCAGGAACACGATCAACCGTGCTTTTTATCTTGAAACTTTATTTACATAGACTCACAAGAATAATGACGATATTCCACAGTAGAAAAAATTGACTATCACATTATAGAGTGATCTTCCCTAAAATTTCTCGAATATTCTTATATGAAACAACAGGGGATGGCAACTCAGGATATAAACATGATTTTTAATCCATTTTAAATACTTTAACTTTTTAAAATAGAATAAAATCTCGTAGTAAAAACATTTGCACACCAAGTGAACGCCAAATAAAATGTGCATAATAGTGCGAAATATTATTAGTACTTTATAAATTCACGTGCGTTTTTTGAGAAATCGAAAGTTGCAAAAAATACTACTTCTTGTCAACAGAAATGACTCAAAATTTTAGAGAAGGCAGAGAACTAGATCAGGGGTCGGCAACCTGCGGCTCGCGAGCCGCATGCGGCTCTTTTGATGTCAATTGGCGGCTCTCGAGTTCCATGCACAAATATTATAAACTATTATATTAATTTATTTTCAAAACCCATGACAAATATTATACTGTAAAGAAACACAAGTTTAAACATAATAAAAACACAAATCAGCGAACAATGAGAATAGGTGGGAGTAGAGAGTATTCGGACAGCTGACAACCGCTTGGGCACCAAGCCCAGCCCCACAGCCGTGCAATGCTTAACACTTCCCGAGTGCCGACTTTTTTCGAATATCATTAAATGGGGAATGTAATTTTATTTAGAATGCATTTCCCTATCTGTCAGTAATCATTAGTTTGACCTGAGTGATGTAGTTTTTTTTTTGTTTATTAGCTTCCTATTCTTGAGCCGGGTACTTGACGGTGGGGTACGAGCTTAACCTGCGTTCATTGGGTTGGAAGATAAGTCTGGTGAGAGCCAAAGGACAGAAGCGACCAATACACGGTAATCAAACCGATATTCAAGCCAGTTAGTCGGAGTTTGCCATGTTGAGGCCTGACTGGCTAATGCGAGACATCTCCAGAGCTAGGAAAAAAAAGTTAAGAGCTTCTAAAGTGGATTGGAATAGTCCTACAGTTTTACTATTTGATAACTAAGTTTATCATAGCAGAGCTAGCTAAAATAATTTAATATTTTTTTGTGCAAAACATTTGTATGTTTTCATTTGAATACATATTATTTCATATTTAAAGCTATTCATTTAAAATAAAAATATTATACTTGTTTTCCTAATCCTAATCAAATACTGAAATAAAAATGTTTGTGGCTCTTTAAAAACTGGAAAATTTTGTAAATTGTAACTTTTGGCTCTTCCGTCTGAAAAGGTTGCCGACCCCTGAACTAGATCTTTTACTTACATGTGAAATTTCATTTATCTATCTGAAATAGTACTCAAGTTAAATGCTTTTGAAAAATTCAAAGTAGAAAAGTTTCACTTCCGGTTATCAGAAATCGCTCAAAAGTTGATATGGATCTAGGATTTGGATATAATACTTATATATGAAATTTAATCAACCTAGCTGTAACGGTACTCAAGTTATCGTGTTTACACACACAGACACAGACATACGGACAAGATTCTAAAGCTATGCTTTTCCGACTCAGGGAGGTGTACAACATGTATAAACAACAGATGTTTAAAATAAAGAACGTCGTCTTGACTGACAGAATAAAATGAGTTTGACATTTTCATCAACTGTGATAAACAATAGTTGTTTTTTTTTCTGTGATAAACAATAGGACAACATTAATCTCAGGGCTAGACCTTCAAAAGTAAAAATTGTAGTTAAATCTCATTATTGTAAACATTTTTAATACAGTAGACTACTGCGTTTAGTTTTTGAAAAAACAGTATTTAAATTACCAATTATAAACAAATCATAAACATTTAACATAGTTTTAACAAAACATTTTGTTTTTAATAAATAATAAAACATACATTTATTATTATGAAGCATTTTTACAAAACAAAATGTGCTACATCAAATGTGTAGGATGAATAGATAGCGTTACTTCCCTTTATTGAAAACAAAAAATTTAAAGTTTTAACAGTTCTGGCTTTTTTCGCAGCGTCACTGGGGCAGGAGTTTATTGTTGCGAAGGGTGTGAGATATATATATATATATATATATATATATATATATATATATATATATATATATATATATATATATATGTATATATAAGAGACAAACACAAACATGCTTTTTTTTCTTTCTTTTAATAGGCCTACATTTATGTACAAACTATGGTAACGTTGAAGATACATCTTAACACTCGGCAAATAAAATATCTTTCTTAAGGAAATTATTCTGAACTAGCAAAAAAGAAACTCATCAAGTCAACGGAAGTTATAATAATATATGAATGTTAAATATCACATTAGGAATATAAAAATTTTAAGAACTATCCGCGGGAATAATTTTTTGCGATAAAAGTTTCTCTGTGTGGCGATTTGTGTGGGTCATCTCCCACTTAAACATCCACGGTCCAACCACAGTGGTGTCAAAAGGGTCATCTTCAGCTTCATCCTTCGTATGGAAAGAAAAGGTGTTATGATGGATATTTTTTTTTAAAATGTGTATAAGGGGTCGTCCATAAACGACGGTAAACTCGAAGGGGAAGAGGGGGGTCCGTAATTTTGTGACGGTGTGTGATGAGGGGGAGGAGGGGGGGTCAGATGGTGTGACGTCACACTTTTGCATCATAAAAAAGTTTTAGAAAACTTTTTTGATAAATTGAAAAATGAATTGATCAAAATACTCTATTTTGACAGAGTTCAGACAAGATTTTGGGAAAATATCGATGTTTAAAAAAAATTTCAACTGCAATTTTGAAGGGGGTTGTAGACTGAGGTGTGACGTCATTTTAAGGGTGGGGTCTGGCTATTTGTGACGAGGAGAAATAGTATTTCTTAATCAAGAACACTGGTTCTTAACCTTTTTGGAACGTACCGAACCATCGTAATAGTTTAATCGTCTGCACTGACAAAATCTAAACTTGAATTATGTGAGTATTAACCTCCGCATAACCCCTGAAACTGACTCACCGAACCCCTGAGACTGACTGACCGAACCCTGAGACTGACTGACCGAACCCCTAAGACTGACCAAACACCTAAGACTGACCGAACCCCTAAGACTGACCGAACCCCTGAGACTGACTGACCGAACCCCTACGACTGACCGAACCCCTGAGACTGACTGACCGAAACCCTGAGACTGACTGACCGAACCCCTAAGACTGACCAAACCCCTAAGACTGACCGAACCCCTAAGACTGACCGAACCCCTGAGACTGACTGACCGAACCCCTAAGACTGACCGAACCCCTAAGACTGACTGAACCCCTGAGACTGACTGACCGACCCCTAAGACTGACCGAACCCCTAAGACTGACCGAACCCTGAGACTGACTGAACCCCTGAGACTGACTGACGAACCCCTGAGACTGACCGAACCCCTAAGACTGACTGACTGAACCCCTGAGACTGACTCACCGAACCCCTGAGGTTGGATCGCACTCACGTTAAGAACCGGTGATCTAAAATTTTGTTCGCTTATAAATTGCAGTAAAACTTGATTTTCTAATATTAAAACCCACAGAGCTCTAGCCTCAGTCATAACCTGAAACTTAAACCTCAACGCTGTCCTCAAATTAACTCCATGCTATATAAACTATACATACGAGCTGCGCCAGAATGGTGGGAGTGGTAGCTGTATGCCTAGAGAGCGGTGGAATAACGGCGTGCGTTTACGTGGTGGTGTATCGCATCGCATGGTCACCATAAAGATATATATATATATATATATATATATATATATATATATATATATATATATATATATATATATATATATATATATATATATCAGATATACTTTAGATATTGCATGCACCTTGCAGTATTTAGAAGCTTCATTGATCCTATTGACGCTGTTAAAAGAATCCCAGTCAATTTTCTCCACAGGATTTTTCTCAGACCTCATCAAGACGCCCTGCTTTAACCCATAGAAGCCCAACGGTTTTTCTGGATTCGCAAAACGGAAGTCCAGACTCCAGCGAATGACGTCAGAAGTATTGTTGAGGCTAAAATAAAAAATATACTGGCATTAAGTTCATTCTTGTATATTGAAAATTCATTTTTTTAATACGACATTATGTGGTTTTAAAGCTCTTTTGTCTCTTTGGGAAAGAAATTATACCTTATTTAAATAGAGTAAATAACTTACCTCCTATGGGGTATAAGGGTATTGATAAGCAACATTCCACCATAGGGTACTGGACAAAGTACTTTATCTTTTTCAAAGTCAACATCTAGTCAAATATAATAGTATTTTATCATTATGAGAAGTCTATCAAGTTATTACCAAATATAACAGTATTTTATCATTACGATAAGTATGTCAAGATATAGTCGAACATTACATTATTTTGTCATTATGAAAAGTCATATAGTCAAATATTACAGTATTTTAGCATTACGACAAGTCGGTCAAGATGTAGTCCTTTTATCTTTTCTATTCCAGGCAGAGTTTTTTTCCAGGCATCTCTAGAGGGGGGTATAAACGGTGAAAACTGTCAACATTTCTTTTTTATTTTCCTGCACTATTTAAATACTTCCTCTATGCTTTGTATGCGAGAAAGTAAAAAGGTACAGTTTTTTTCCGAACAACTCATTGCCGCAGTTCAAAGACTGTGCCTTAACCGCAAAATACTGATTACTTTTTAAATGAAGTTCACGCAATCTCTTTTGCCTATTTTCATTAAGGTTTACGGCTCATAAAAAATTAAATATAATCCTATCATTGTCTGTTCTTTATACAAGTTTTTTTATCAAATTTGTGTTTGTTTAGCTAGATAACGGAATTAAAAGAAAAATAGATAACGGAATTAAAAGAAAATTAAAACATGCCTAAAGATAAGCAGGTGTAATTTTAAAAAAAAAACGAACTTAACGTTTTTGCAGCATGCTCTTCGTCGACTACAATATACCAGGTGTCTCCCCAGCAACAGGTGTGTCTGGCAACTTTGCCCGCTAGGTGGCCACCTGGAATTACCTGAAATCAACAGTTCGAGGAGAATTTATTGTAAAAATGACATTTTGCACAATGAGCATAAATATCAAATAGACTGCTAACCCGAAAGTCTCGAGGTCGAATCTATAGAACGTCCCTGAGTCCACCAAGCGCTGATGGGTACCTAACTCAAGTTACGGGAAAAAAAGGCAGCAGGGCATGGTGCTGACAACATTATCCCCTCGAATGCCGAGGTCATTGAAATAGAAGAACTCTACTTCATGTATATCATGCACAAACTGGAGATGATGTTGATGATGATGATGATGATGATGATGATGATGATGATCTAATGATGATGATGATGATGGTGATGATAGTGATGGTGATGGTGATGATGATGATGATGATGATGATGATGATGATGATGATGATGATGATGATGATGATGATGATCTAATGATGGTGATGATGATGATGATGTTGATGATGATGATGATGATGATGATGATCTAATGATGATGATGATGATGGTGATGATAGTGATGGTGATGATGATGATGATGATGATGATGATAGTGATGATGATGATGATGATGATGATGATGATGATGATGATGATGATGATGATGATGATGATGATTAAAAATAAATTATAAATTAAATAGTAAATAGAATTCTGAAACAAAAAAACATAATCTTGTCTCTGTTGAACCGGAAAAACATTGTAATTGTAAATGACAATAAAATTAGCTTCATGAGAGAGTTGTTTACAATGGGAGTTTTAACAAATTACATGGATTAAAACCTATTTTAATAAGTTAAATATTGTAACATAACACAAGTAATTCCCGTTACTATGAATTGCCAGTCTGATGTATAGATAATGAATAGTCATCTTGGTTCATAATTCATAATTCTATGTTGGGTGATATAGTACCTCCAAAACTATTAAGCATTACGTGTCAACTTGCTATTCGGCAAATTGGCTTGATTTCATCCTGTTTTTCTTTTTGGCTTTAATGAACAGTCAAAAACATTGTAACACTATACAAGTAATTCTCGCTACAATGACTCACCACTCTAATCTATACGTAATAAACAGTGACAACAACAGCTGGTGATTAGGTTAAGTAATTAAGTAACCGAGTGAGTACCTCCATGCATCCGTTTTCCTCATTTGTATCCAACATAGGAATCCAGGCCACTGGATATAGGACACTGTACGCTTCATTTTCTAAATACGCCGCATCTGGTAATGTGACAATACAGTGATTACGTTAAATTATAATACCTATTTTTCCTATTATATATATATATATATATATATATATATATATATATATATATATATATATATATATATATATATATATATATATATATATATATATGAACACAATTTATCAGCGAACACTTTATCAGTTGTTGTTGTTTTGTTTGTTTTTTTTAAACTAAAAGCAGTATTTCATTTGGAGAAAATGCGTTCTATTTGTTGTATTTCAATTTGGTTATTAAAATAATGTTTTAATACTTACGTGTAAATTTTGAAAACATTTTTAGAAGGATTTAATTTTACATTTTAAAAAATTTAAAACCAACTAAATAACAAAATATCAACTTGAAAATTGTAATACCTTGTCAATGAAAAAACTAAAAAGAAAATATATGCAAAAATGTATTAAGTTGCCAAAAAAAAAACTAAATAACAATATATTAAGCCAAAAGTTGTGGTTTTCTTACCAAAAAAAAGCGAAATAAAAAAATATTAAGTTGAAAATTGTGGTACTTTACTAAAAAAACTAAAAAAGACGGTATATTAAGTCAGTGGCGCAGCGAGGTCGGGTGTCACCCGGTGCGGCACTTAATGGTGTCACCCCCCCCCCCCCCAGAGGCATAGAGACCCTTCCCAGGGATAAACTTTCAAACTTTCGATTTGCACACCCCCCCCCCCCTCAAACTTTCCATTTGCACCCCCCCCTCGAGTTTTTTCTCTATATATTTTGCTATTTTTTGCCTTGGTGTCACCCCCCTAAATAGTGTCACCCGGTGCGGTCCGCACCCCCCACCCCCCCCCCCCCCCTCGCTACGCCCCTGTATTAAGATGCCAAACAAAAATCTAAATAATAATATACTAAGTTGCCGAAAAAATATAAATAACAATATAATAAATTGAAAGTTGTCTTACCTTGGTGCCAAGGGACAGTTGTAGCCTCATTCTGAGGAGTCTTTGTTCTAAGACACCAATTAGGGTGACCCATGACCTCTGGTCCAATCAGCTGTTCCACCACATTCAACAAACGTTCGTTCGACCATAACTTATGAAAAGCCTTCCGAAATATAACATTACACTTTTTTAAAAACGTATTTAACAAAGAGTAAAACATTAATAGGGGTCGTCCATAAATGACGTCACACTCGTAGGGGGAGGGGAATCCTTAATTCTGTGATGGTGCGTGATGAAGGGGAGGGGAGGGGGGGGTTCAGATTGTCTGACGTCACATTTTTGCTTTATAAAAAAGGGGGGGGGGGTAAAAATCGTCGAAAAAAAAACTTGACGTCATTTATGGATAACCCTTTATCACAAATATGTATGTCAGTTATAAAATATGATTTTTTTTTTCGTAATGTCCCACCCATCTAATATAAAATAGAAATATGTAAAATTAAATTACTTGAACAATTGTGAGTTAATTAATTATTAATTAAGTAATTTTGCTTTACCTCTGTTGCCTCTGTGGCCTTTCCTGTTTTGTGAAGGATAATGTTAGCACCAGGAAATTCTTTTTCTATGTGGATCAGTCTTGTAAACAAGCCTTGTTCCTTGTACAAGTCTTAAAATAATTCGTTATTTTCACACTGAGATTTTTTTTTTTTAAATCCTTTTTTACATTTTTTTGGGTGGTATAATGGGAGAAACATTTTTTTTTCTAAGAAGTTTGTTTTATGCAGAGGCGTAGCGACCCTTCCCGGCGCCCGGGGACAAACTTTCGATTTGCACCCCCCTCGACCTTTCAATTAATTTTTCCAACCCATTTTGGCGCCCCCTAAGGTCGGCGCCCGGGGACATATGTCCCCGTCCCCCCCCGCCCCCCCCCTCGCTTCCGCTACGCTACTGGTTTTATGGGGGGGGGGCGGAAATCGTCATTTTCATATAAAAGAATCTTCCTTGGTTAATTTTGGTATAATCTAAATTTTTGATAATTTTAAAATCCCATAATTGCAAGGATTTACTTTTGAAAAAAATAAATTTAAATTGTGTCTTGTTTTCCTGCGCTTTGCGTTGTATTATCTGAATTTTTCGTCCCTTCACAGAGAAATGTTAAAAGAACGTTTGTTATCATTGCTTTAAGCAAAAAATTAAATATACAAACAATGTATTTATAAACCAAAAAGGCTTGATTGCGCATAATCATTTGATAACAACACTATATAATCAGGGGCGTAGCGAGGGGGGGGGGGGCGGGGGGTGCGGACCGCACCGGGTGACACTATTTAGGGGGGTGACACCAAGAAAAAAAAAAGGGAAATATAGAGAGAAAAACTTGAGGGGGGGGGCTGCAAAATCGAAAGTTTGAGGGATGGGTGACACCATTAAGTGCCGCACCGGGTGACACCCGACCTCGCTACGCCACTGTATATAATTAATCAGCAGTTATGTATACTAAGACAAACTAGTCAACTATTAAATCCGTTATTGTTTATTTTAAAGATGAGAAATTTTCATACCAAGTACTTACTTTTGATCTTGCCCCCATCATAAAGCATTTGGGCCAAGTCATCCACCATTTTTTCTATAGCTTTTCGACATGGTTCAAGTTCTTCTTCAGTGAAGAATTTAGGCACCAGTAGGTATCCCTGAGTGAGTAGAAAAATTTGTTTTTGAAAGTCTGGAATACTAGTCAAACATCACACGTTCACGCTCATAACAATTCGTTGTTTTTGTTTTTATTTTTTAACAATTTGAAGCATCATAATTTATGCTTTACCAATATAATTTTAAGTAATGTAAGTTACTTTGTAACTTTTGTTTTCGTAAATTAAAAGAACATTATGTTTTTATTTAAAGGTAACAAAAATTAAAATATCATCGAGCGATATCAATGGTCTTTATTTTTTTTTTTACATTTCCATCTTAATGACTGTTATATCTGTCACTAAAATATATCATGACATCTTTTTTAATATATATGGAAATTAAAAGAATTTAAAAAGTTGCATACTTTTGTTTAGCATAAACAGGTGGCAGAGGCGTAGCGAGGGGGGGGGGGGGGGGGCGGGGGGGACATATGTCCCCGGGCGCCGACTTTAGGGGGGGGGGGGGGCGCCAAATTGAAAGTTTGAGGGGGGGTGCAAATGAAAAGTTCGAGGGGTGGTGCAAATCGAAAATTTGATCCCGAGGGGGGCGCCAAATTGAAAGTATGTCCCCGGGCGCCGGGAAAGGTCGCTACGCCTCTGACAGGTGGTCAATTCGCGAATTATGTACTTAAAAATTGGGACATTTTGTTATTGCACCTACAGTTTGGTGTCGTTTTTTTTTTTTGGAAAAAAAAACATAAAGCTTAAGGTAAATGTTCTGATGAAACAATGAATCATTAATAACTTAATCATATGCAAATAACTTATATGTATTGTAATTTGAATTTTATGAGGAATAAGCCTATAATATATATATATATATATATATATATATATATATATATATATATATATATATTATATATATATATATATATATATATATATATAATATGTGCACAAACCTAAATATGTTTTAATTACAAATCACATCCAATATGCAAAGAAAAACCAAACCTTGACCTTACCTTTTCAAAAAATTGCCGTATCAAACTCTCCTCTAACTGACCAGGCTTAAGAATTTTTGGTTGTTCAGGCATAGCCCGGATATCAAATAATTCTGGTCGTCCATCGGGTACTAGACCGGGTTCTGGCATTTTGTAAAACTTTTTTTTTTGTTAAATTAAAAATCTAAAGTACCAGTTTGGCTGTTTTAAAGTAGAAAGGGTTGTGACTCCCGGACGAAATCTAATTGTAACAAAGGTTCTTACGCGTCTTATCGAAAACAAGCGGAAACCAACGTTTAAAGTTTAAACAGATAGTATTTCTATTTATACTTTCGCTGAGTATGTAGTGACCTATTTTCCTACAGAGTGACTGAAATATTGTTACTGTATGTCCCTGTGTATTGCTATCGTTGAAGTCTCATGAAGGTGTGTTCATTAAAGAGTTTATGAACACACAAGGTAATTTAAAATAGTGATTAGCTGACGTAAAAATTAATTGTATTAACAAAAGGTGTAGAACTATTGTTTTGTGGATGTTGTACAAAATATAAAAGTAACAATAGCTAAAATTTATTCAAATGTATATATATATATATATATATATATATATATATATATATATATATATATATATATATATATATATATATATATATATATATAAATATGTATATATAGTGCCTTCAATGAATATAACACTAAATGTTTGACTATGTGTAATGATTAGGAGAAAGACATTAAGCAATGCTGAATGTCAGCTTAGGCATGTTGGAACAATTAACTGTTCTTTTAATTTTAGCATCAATTTGGCTGTTTGTTGATATGTATTTCCGTACATTTCTCCTGTTGACATACAGCAGTTTTCGCTTTATATATATATATATATATATATATATATATATATATATATATATATATATATATATATATATATATATATATATATATATATATACATATATACTTAGTTTCTTTGGGGGGGGGAGTGCCACCACGAGGTGCCGCACGGGGTGACACCCGACCTAGCGACGCCACTGACTATGAGATTATTATAAATCTTGATCTTAAATAAAAAAAAAATGTTCACTACGAACACTGAATCGTCTCATTTTATTGCACTAATGGTTGCCCATGATAGTATGGTGTCACACTGATTGGGAGAAAAGGGAAGTTGGAGCAGTTGTGATACTATGTGACAATGGAATGGGGAAGGGGGGGTCTAGGCTTTTTTTTTAAACGTTAAGAAAACGCTTTCAAATAATGAAAATGATTTATGATTTCATGTAAAACAGCAACAAATACATCAGAGGCGTAGCGACCCTTCCCGGCGCCCGGGGACAAACTTTCGATTTTCACCCCCCCCCCTCAAACTTTTAAACTTTCGATTTGTTTTTTCAACCCATTTTGCCCCCCCCCCCTCCCCTAAGGTCGGCGCCCGGGGACATATGTCCCCCCCCCCCCTACGCCTCACCTCGCTACGCCTCTGAAATACATCAACAGCAAAGCAATTTTAAAACCAACAAGATTCAACAAGTAGGCATAGTTTTCCGAAATTCTTGAGCACACATTAAATCGTCATCACATTTCACAAAATGGGCACGGGGGTCTTTTTATTTATAATTTTAATATGTCTATTGTACAAAGACATACTTTATACAAGTCGATTGGCCACAAACAAAATTACAATCTAGAAAAAAAGATCCAGCAGCATTCAATATTTAGGTGTAATTTTTGTTTTTTAATTCTAAGCTAAGTTGCACGATACGGGTTCGACTTTATATACGTATATATACTTTATGTCAGCAACACTTATGTTTATGACTTTAACAATTGAATACAAAGTCATCTGAAATTATACTTCAAGTCAGCTGGAGTTGTTTTAATGACTTTTAAAATCTATACGCACAAATTAGTAAACTTCAAGTCAGCAACAGTTGTTTTTACGACTTTAACAAAGGAATACACAGTCATCTGAAATTTTTACTTCAAATCAGTTAGAGTTTACATGACTTAAGCAACTGAATACGCCGTCAACTGAACTTTTACCTCAAGTCAGCTAGAGTTGTTTTATGACTTTAAGAATTGAATGCACCGTCATCCGAACTTTTACTTCAAGTCAGCTAGAGTTGTCCACTTATAACGTTTACCAATGAGATTAAACAGAGCTTCATTCATTGGTGTCACGTGTTTCACAATCAGCTTGACAGTCTTGTCACTGATATCAGGGTGTTCTCTCCCCTTGTTGCTGCCTAGGCAACCAGACTCCCTGTCTATAATGTTGAGCACCTGTGCCACTGCTTGGTACCTCGGGTGTGTTTTGTTAAAGCAATAAAAACCTTTTTCAGCGCTGAACACAAAGAGTTCTTTTGTAAAAGCCGGTCGTAGTCCAAGAAAGTGTTCGACCTCCTTCATTACAGAGAGTGGATCTTCCTCTAAGTCTTCTTCAGATAACACTAAAACTTGGTGTCTTGAAAATATATCGTAAACATTCTTAATATAGATATGATAGTTAATTTTACTAACATATAATAAATTAATGTGGTTCAACCATTCTTCGAAAGTAAGATTAAAAGTTTTAGGCTTGCTGTGAACTTGTATTCGGCTATATCCGGATTGTAGCTTTGTTACTGGATCTCTCACAATGACAATCAGTTTAATGGAGGCGTTAAATTTATGTATGCGGTTAAGTGACGCCATGGATGTAATATAAGCAGGCGTCTTCTCCACCGTGATCTGATGTTCATAAGATACAGGCATTTGCTCAATATACCACTGAAGCCCCTTGT